CAATGTCTATGAACGTTATTAATGGTCTCTCACCTTTATATTTTATCTTCGGAGAGATAAATTACATGGGGATGTTAGATTTTATTGATATTAACCCTTTTCCCAAATTTCTATCTGTCTCTTATCTCTTTTTGAACACACGAGAGTACAACCATGAATTTCTTATCGTTGTGTTTTTTGATCCTATTATGCAAATAAAATAAATATTTATATGAGTGTGTGTGTGTGTGTGTGTGTGTGTGGACTGCAAAATACTGATTTATCCCATCTTTTGTTGATTCACTTTAAATTTACGATAGATAGCATTATAACATATATATTACTATATACGATTCAAAATATTTTAAATTAAATGTTAACATTTGAAATTTTATTCCAATTCGAAAGATAATTTAATAAAATCCGATATTACCGTTTATAAAATCGATTAAACGTCTTCGTTGTAACCTGCTATTCATACTTAATCAGTGTTTATCTTCCTTTCATAAATTTAAACGTCGAAGCTTAAAATAAATCGATTAAATTATTCGCAAATGGGTGTAGGGGATCAAGAGGAGGAGGGGGTTAAAACAACGTCGATTCAATAATTTCAAGTTAAAAATCGATGTGAATTATTGGGTAGAACGAATATGAATTTCTTCCAAACAAGAATTATTATCATTTTTATCGATCTCCGTACAATATATGCACAAATTATCATTCAAACGATTGGAAAAACAAAGAAGGGAAGATACGAGTGGTGGTAGTGGAAGGGGAAAGGTGAGAGAGATGGGATAGGGGAGAGAGGGGAAATGCGGAAATATATATTTTCAGAAATGCAAAGTAAATTGTTGTTGAACTTTGACTTGATAATAGGGAAAAGATTATTAATTTTATCGGACCTCTTTGAATATTATTATTATTATTATTATTATATCGATTTACGTATGACGTGGTTCATTAAAACAATAGATATACGTTGAGAACACATTTCAATTTATAAATAAAGTAAATATATGTATATATGTATATATACATATATATATATTCTTATGTAATATCAAGAACAAGAGTAACAATAGTCTATTCATCCTTCTACGGTCTCCATTTTGTAAAAGACAATGGCGGCTTATGGTTACCTTCGACCGCTGCCAGTCTGATGTCTTTCAAACGAAGCGAAACACCCTAACCATGTTTTTTTCTTTTTTTCTCGTTTCCTTTTTTCTTTTTTCCTTCATTTTTCCTCATCACTCTTACCCTCTCTCGGTGATAATATATCATTTATTATCTGCTTATCTATTTCTTTTTCTTTTTCTTTTTCTTTTTTTTTAAACACGACATCACAAAAAATTAAAGATCAAACGTATTTCGAAAAAGTAAAGAAAGAGGAAGAAAAAGAGAAGATTTTTCGTAATTTTTTTTTATTTTTTAAGATTGTCAAGAGTCGAATATTTGATAGTCAAAAGATTAGGGACCATTGTTGTTTTATTGTTTAAGAAAAAAAAACATTTCGCTAGAAAATACATCGTAAATCGTATTACGAAATAAAATGTAATTCGTTCGTTGATGAACGTTCAATAGAAAAGAAAAATCGAATTTAATATTTTGATCTTTTTTCCGTTTTTTTTTATAAAAAAAAATCCGTTTCCCTTCTCACATATAATCGTCGAATAAATTTAATAACATTGATCGAGAAGCATTTTCAAATTGTTCATAAAAAACGATACGACGATAACGACGTTTGATATTTTCTCATCCTTCGATTTGTCAAACCTCGCGTTTAAAATTTCTCTCGGCTAATTTCTTTTTTTAACATTTTGCCTTTTTTTTTTTTTTTTTTTTTTTTTAAAAACGTTTCTCTTCTTATTTTACGATGATAAATTTACCTCGATGTTTTCTGAAACATATTCTTTCGGTAACCCTAACGCGACAAAATATAACCGTGCCGATAGCTACCGTTCAGTAAAATGATATTTTTCGAGCATAAACATCAACATGATTTTTCCACCCGAATGGGCTAAACAATCTACGAAGTTGTCACCGGTTTGTTGATCTCCAATTTCGTCTATTTTATGAAACGACTAACATAAACCACTAACACACATCGGTCCTTCTTTTTATTATTATTATTATTATTTTTAATAGTCATCGATTTATTTATTCGTTAAATTAATTTTATAATGATTATGCGATTCACCGATAAATTGTCATTATAGTATTAATCAATTAACAAAAAATCACTCTCATATATTATTAAAATATCGAATATAATATAATATATTCAAAAAAATGATAATTTATATTATTTTTTTAATACACGCAAAAAATACGAACGAAGTTTAATATTGTTACGGA